TGATTCCATACCGCTTTCTTGCCGCTTTGAGACCCACGTGTGATAACACATCTAGAGGAACTGAGGTTGAAGAAAGCTGCTCTGTACCATGGAATTTTGTCCTTGTTTGAAGAGCTGTTGTTTGAACAGCTAATTAGCTGCACATTAATGTTATATTCAAGCTGGGCAGAGACAGCTAGATATGTAGAAAGTATGGTGTCTTATGCTTTAGAAATAGTCAGTGGTTAAAAGACCAACATACTAAGCACTTTCTTACTGCACATCTTACCCAATTGCCATTCCTCCTGAATCCACAGTTCTTGCTTGTTTAGAATTTTGCACATAATCAGTTCACCTTTTCTATCGTTGTTGTACAATATCCCATTCTTCCTTTTAATGGTACCACCTGTTTCCAAAAGTCTCCATTCCCCTTGCTAAATGTCTCTCTGTTGTCCATAGATCATTATTTTTTCTGCAATCAGCAGCTTTCTAGCAAAACTGTCTGCGTCATTTCTTCCTTCTTTGCTGCCTCAAGAGATTTCTTACCCTGCCAAATAATGCAAATGCCATTTCTATGACAGATTTTGCACCATATTTGACTGTTTCCACATGCCTTGGTTTGATGAGATTCTACGTAGTTATGGGATCATTTGTCCTACTACCTTCCTGCATGAAATTCCAGGCAAAGAAAAATTGGAACAGCATCCTGGCATTATTGCTAAATTCACTCTGCTATTGGCATCTCTTGACCAAGGAGTGCTTTTCACAGGCCAGCCCAAAGTTCAATGAACTTGATAATATAGATTCAGAGTAAGTGGCAATAGATATTCTAGAGCCAGTTCATTCTGATTTGAAAAAGGAAAGTGATTAGAGAGAGGGTACACAAATTAAATAACTTGCCCAAAGACAAGGGGGGGAATCAGGCTACATCTGCTGAAATGGAATCTAGGGGCAAATGTTGCAGGAGGGTCTGGTATTTGTAGCTGTAGTTCTCAAATGCACAGGGATTATGGAGGAATTTTCTCTCTATGAACATATCAGGCTTCTTTCAGGTGGAACCCTTCTAAGATGTCACATGGATTGCTGAGCCCCAAACCAAGACTCTTGCTGACTACCATTATTTCAGCTCATGGCTGAGTGTCCACCACAGGCGATCATTTGTGCAGATTTAGAGAAGACAGTTATTTTGAAGGACTTACAAAAAGGGCAAGTAATTGTACCCAAGGTGTATAGCATGGTGAGTTGCTGGCTAAATACAATAAAATATATATCAATTAAAATGGAGAAATGGAAGTAGGATGCATGTGACTTAAAACCAGAGCCTGAAAACCAGAGCCTGAAAAAGATTAAAACTCCCAGAATCCTCCTACCAGCATGAATTTTGTTCATGATTACTTGGGGGTCTTGGGAGTTGCAGCCCATAAAACCTTTTGAAGCAAAACATCTCTGTTGCTTTGTATATTGTGTTTATGTCCCACCTTCCTTTAGTACAACTGAAGGTCTCTTGAATCTACAATAGAAATCATGACCATCTTGGTTTCACCAAGGCTGCTGCATCATGTGTCTTCAGAGCAAAAGCCTACCTCTGAAGATACCAGCCACAGATGCAAGTGAAATGTCAGGGATAAATTCTTCTAGAACATGGCCACATAGCCCGAAAAATCCACAAAAAACTATGGATGCCAACCATGAAAGCCTTTGATTTCACAAAACCCTACCTTTAAAGAATATACGCTGAAAGAGAAGCCATGTTACAAACATAAGACAAAGGTGTGTGAGTCAGAATGAGTGGGACTGGGATTATTAATTTAAACAAAGCTATTTATTACATGTCAAGGCCCCGGCAATGAACTTTTATGCAAAGGCCCAGAAACAGTGCAAACACACACACACACACACACACACAAAGAAGAAGCAGTGAGCCAAGAAGAAAACAGAGGTATCATGGTAGGGAAGACTGTATGACAAGTGGATAAAGTGATAGGAGAAAATCTATGTATGCATTGTCTTAAAGATGACGAAAGGAAGATGTAAAGAATCATTAAGAATTAGAAAATCACTACATCTTTTTAAAACTCTGAGGGTAATTTGGTCACAGAACAAGAGAACATTAGGATGACTGGGGAAGAAACAAAGGAAGATGAATGAAGAAACAATGCTGTATGCCTCGTCCAAGACACACAAAGAATTTCATTTGAAGAAATGATCAGAGTTGGAAGAAAGTTAAAAGCACAAAAAGCCATCAAGCAATATGAAATTCAGACTGCAGACAGCTGAAATGGCAAGTGAGATGAAGAAAAACTGAGACCAAGGCCTCTCTGCCTTAAGTTTATGGAGAGCCATT